TGGTTGGCGACCTGCACACAGCAGGGGGTTGGAACTAAATGACCATTGTGGTCCTTTTCAACCCAGGCCATTCTATGATTCTATGACTCTATGAACTCATGGGAAATGCCCCAATTAATTGTTGTCAGTGGAGTGTTGAGATACACACCTGGAATGGCTGGAACACACCTGGCTCACCTGGAATGGACACAATGCCTTGTAACTCACTGCTCTTTCATTTCCATCACCTGTATTGACTAAGATAAGACCAAGGACACAACACATATGCAAACCTAAATTAAACTCTACAAACCTGTAAGCTAAACCCACTGAGTCAATAGGTTTAAAAGAAAATAAAAAAGAGTGCTTATACCTCACCCCAAACCCCTATGTCACCATGGGAGACTGCAGAGGCCAAAAGCATAAATAAGCATGGGATTAATTAATGGAGCAGAGACCATATGGCACTTCTGTGCTGCACCATGTGTGACCACTGTGGAGAGGTAACTGAAGAGGGATGAGGAGAACATGGAAAGAAGGAAGTTATGAACAGCAAATTCTTAATTTTCCTCATCTTGTCAGAAATAACATTCAGATATTTCCAAGCTTTTCCTTTACCTTGGGGAAAAAACAGAAGGAAAAAAAAAGATCCAGACTGTATCTTAGATACGTATCTCTGCTGCAGAAAGAAACTATTTAATAAGCAAAAAGATTAAATAAAGTAGCTGCAGCACGACTTCAGGTTTGAATTATTGCAAACAGGTCATTCCTACTTAATAAAAACACTGGGCAGATGCTTACAGCCATGAAAACCAATATAGAGCACCTTAAACCACCTGCTTGACAATCATATAGAGATAAACACCATTCCTTTTTTCTCTTTTTGCACCAAAGCAAACTACACAACTTGATATGCAGACCTCAGCACAGGCCACAAATGTTCACACCAATGCTGTGGTGCCATGAAAAGACAAGATTTGCAGTGGACTCTATCTTGAAGCACCATGGTAAGACTGCAAGGAGACTTAGATAGAGGCAGCACTGAGCATCCCAGGGAGGATGTTCTGAGCACAGATATGAAAGAAAAGATGGAGCAGCCAAGAAATGGGGTGAATGTTGCACATGAGGACACAGAGCAGAAGTGCAGTAGGAAAAGCACGCAATGTATGTGAGTGGAAGAAAGCATAGGGTGAGCTCTTATGGAAGGAGAAGGTGATTATAGTTCATAATAAGTCTATATAGCCCATGGAAAAGCAATGATACCCTCTTGCACTCTTAGACCCCAAACCTCCAAATGTCTGTGGCCATCTATCTGGCCAACCTTGCTTGTTTCCTGCATAGAGGACAAGGGATGCTGGCAGCCATGTCCTTGCCATACCTCCTGGCTTCTTCCCTGGACACAGCAAGCATAGTTTGCAGTCTTCCACACCATGTAAGGCTCAGCAGCTTCTTTGGAAGACCCCTTTGGCCACACAGTTTTGTTCACTTCCTTCTTCTGACCTTTCAGGCAAGTCAGTGAAAGAATGCATGTCTCCTTGCTTTGAGTTTCTTAGGACTGCTATGTTAACAGGAAAACAGCATTGAACAGCAATGACGACGTGCTGTGACCTCGCTGCCACCCTCTCCAGGTTTTGGAGCACAGGGGTCTCCTCTCTGTGATGAAAGGGAGTTACAACCATGATCCTTATCATGTTATCATGATCCTTATCATACAAGGCACGCTTTCTCCTTCTGTTCTGCTGTTTCTTCTGGTGCTTACACGTGCTTTTCCACCCTGATTTCCTTCAAACCTATCAATATTTATCTTTTAAGTCTCTACTGAACATGGAGAAGCACTGATGAAATACAGATGCAATGTTTTACACAGAAAAAAAAGGAAAGGAAGTAAGAGGACTGGAGGTCAGTACCATGAGTTTAAAAGCTTTGATATTTTCACATCTTTTATATGCAATGAGATACTGGTGAAAAATACATCTTATAGACTGGTGTGATGGCACACAGGGGAAAATAAAATACAGATACCAACAACAATATTCACCAAAGCTCGAACTTTCTGCTGAAAGAAATTGGCAAGATTTGATATTAAAGAGTTGCACTACAGAAAACAGAGAAGGAAACTGGAAAAAGAAACGCTTGCTTGCAATTCATTTAGATTTGCAAAGGTTAACAATGCTTAGAATATCATTTCTCCTGCAGCTCCAATTATAATGCAATATTAACGACCCTGCAACTTCACGTTGTACCTCAGCCTTTATCCACTGACATTTCCTTTGCTTGAAATAAGCAGCTAACGTGTTGCAAAACAAAATAATGGCCACACATAGCCACACTGACTCGAAAAGGAGCTCCAGGAGTCTAAGGGCACCTCCAGATGCAATACTCACCCCCTTGTGACCCAAAGTAGCCCAACTCTTAAATTAAATGGAAACCAAATCCTGATGTCACAGAAGTGCACTGCCTGGTTCCTGGCTTCTCTATGTGCCTCACAGAGAGCTGGGGCTCTGCAGCAGCCTGTGATGCTCCTTAAGTTAAGCTGCACTGGAGATACACAAAGTGGCTTGCACTCCAGTGCCCACTAGAGGGATTTACTTGACCTCAGTCACAGCAAACAACAGCAAAGAAATGAAGACTGTAAAACACCCATTTCCCTGTAAGGTTCCCCATGAACCTCAAGACACAGCTGTGTCTTTTGGTGGCATGGCAGCAGGGCATATTGGGGTTGGGGTCACAACAAAGCACAGGGTGGCCCCTGTGGGATGGAAACATTCCACATCATCACCAGCAGAGCAAACTCATATAAATGTTACTTGTAGGATAACGAAGTCATTCTGAACATTCATTTTCCAGGACAAGGAGTCTGTTTTCACATCCATCACATTCAATGAGTGACAGACGTTCCAGTTCTCGCATTAGAGATGGTCTATATCTCCAAAGTGGTTTTACCAATGGCCTTTAGGCTTTGCAGAAAGCATTTCCATTGCCTCTGCTCAGCGTGCAGATTTTTCAGCCAACTTTATCTCATTAGCATCACAGGGGGCTATCGGCTCTTTAACTTGGACTCAACTGTGATTATGAGATGCACAGCAGAGCATTAGAAATAAAAGAGTGCATCCTACAGCATCACAAATACAAGAGTTTCAATAGTTTTCCTTACACACAGAGATGAATCATGCTGCTGGTTCCTTAGCAAGTAGGAATGAATGTAAAATAAAATACTAGGAGAGGATCCTAGCAGTAGTTACAGTTGAAGAAACGAAGACTTCTTAATGTATTATGAATGTGTGGTTGGAAAGGATCAGTAAACTGTCTTTCTCCTTAACACATGCATTCTTATTCCTCTGGCATGTTAAGATGTTATTAAAGTGACATGGAAACATTACTTATTAGGGAGAGCCATGTGATAGCAGTGAGGGAAGGAAGGAAAATCACTGCTGCCTGGCTTTGGTGCACCTAACTTCTGTGTTTCCAACAGCATGAGCTCACTGAGGTATTTAACTTATGTATCACAGAATTATAGAATAGCCTGGGTTGAAAAGGACCTCAATGATCATCCAGTTTCAACCCCCTGCTGTGTGCAGGGTCAGCAACCAGCAGCCCAGGCTGCCCAGAGCCACATCCAGCCTGGCCTTGAATGCCTGCAGGGATGGGGCATCCACAGCCTCCTTGGGCAACCTGTTCCAGTGTACCTTCTGCCTAAAACTGCTGTGCTCTTCCAATAACCAAACTACATACATTAAAGGGCTTCAAACTCTCATCTGCAGGTGGACCTCGGTCTGTGAAGAGCGGATGGCTAATTTGGAAAGCACAAATCAACCATGTGCCATTAAAAAGGAAATGAAGAGCCAAACTACTCCTCTGTTAGTTCTTTTAGGAAATTAACCTGCCACGAAGATTTTTAGAAGAGGTCTCGACTGCAATGGAACAAACCATTAAGTCTGATCAAGGAGTAAACACTTCTTGCCTATTGATGCCAACAAAGCAGTGGTTCAAAGCTGGTGTTTACCTGGGATTGTATTAAAGCACACCACACACTGCAGAAAGAAACCACTCGGATCTGATATAAACTACTTGTCTGAAGGACCCATCTGGAGCTCCTTGTTTTAATGAACTTCAGCACGGAATCTAAAACAAGGTGTTATTCACATTGCTCATTTTAAAATGGGCACAATATTGCATAGTTTAAAACAGGCTGTAAGTTCTGGACTAAACAGACACATAAACCCCACTTGTGTGCGTTCTTCCTATAGATCAATTACTGCTTTGTATCTGTGGAGCATTACCAGTTCCTAAAGTAAGGACTAAAGCATCAGATCATGAAGACTTAAGGAGACGGCTGCTGTGCTTGGGGGTTTAGTTAACCTCTGTGTCAGGGATGGATTGCTTTGGAGGATGGAAAAGGAAGCAAATACCAAAAATACGTCTGTTGGTTGCACTCCTATGGAATCAACAATTTACTTTACACTAAGGAAAGAACTTTACCAAGCAGTTCCTGAATGAGTATTCAGCTTCAACTGTGTCAATTTATACGATTATATTTGATGTATTCTCGAAGCTCAGTCTGAAATCAAAAGGTGCTCCCCTACAGAATTTGAAACCAGTCCGTGTTTAACTCAGTAAAAATCATAGATTTATAACTTGCACCTGAGGATATGGGAATATCTATAATTTCTCTACGACATATTTGATCTGCACGACGTGGGGTCCAAAAAGCTGTCTCCTGTACCACTATAAAAGTAACTTCTGCACTTCAGAGAGCCTCCCACCTCCCCCAAGCTCCCTTTCTTTGCATGCACAGGACAAGATGCATCTGCGAACGCAGGCAGACAATTTTCTTAACATAATCCCTAATTAAACGCTTTAAACACAGTAGGAATTTCCATTTTCTGGGCTGTCATGTAAGCAGGATGTTTAATTAAAAAAAGAGCAACAACAACAACAGAAAAACAAAGACTGCACTGCAAAACAAAAACGCAACGGAAAAAAAAATGAAGAAACATTGAGCTGTCTGTAAGGAAATGTACCTGAAAAACGTCACAAAGAACTGTACCAGGTCCATAAAGTTGCTGTGTTGTGAGAATGCAATCTGCAAAAGAAAAGCAAAATGCTTTCTATTACTGAAAAGTGAAGTTATACTCAACGCGCGTTGTTTCTGGGGCTGGAGAAATGACAGTGAAATAATGCTGTAAGTCCGAGTTGAAAAAGCACTGGAATATTTGGAGGGAAAAGAAAGCAAGTTACATTGTTTGAAGCCACACATATCCAAAAGAAACTAAACGTCTCTCCCTGCAATAGGCAAGGCATGGCATTCAGTGCATGCTAAGCACTGCGGAGAAAGCACGACTCGGTGCAGTTTTAAAGAGCTCCAGTGGAGTGTTTGCAATTATCGTACCGACAGCAAAGCACAACATGAACAAGTTCTAAACGCATGCCCCTGCACAAAGAACACTCTTGCAACAGAATCTCCTTGAATAAGTAACTTACACCGAGAGCAGCAAAGAGGCATGAAATACAGAAGATAATAGAGACTGTGAAAACAGCTATGGCATTCATCTTAGCTCGCTGCCCTGCAATCCACACCAACTGCAAAGAAGAGCGAAAAAACAAGCCTGTATTTTGGACAGAAAACAGAGGGAAGAAGCGAACAGGAAACTGGGAGGTGGTTAAAGGCAAGGGGAAAGATTAGGGAGCTTGGGTAAAAATAACAAAGCGGAGGGGAGGCAAGCCAACAGCAAGGCAACTTCTGCAACATTAGGAATCAGAAGTTCTTTCCAGGTACCTCCTATTTCCTCTGACTATCAATCGCAGCACCACAACAGGATATTAACTCTTTCATGAAGTATCTGAATGCATTTCAAAACTGAACTGAAATCTGCATTTCACCTACAAAAGCTGCTGGTGGATATTAAATTCACTTAAGGCATCTTTTCTTTTCTTTCCCCTTCTTAATGAACTGCAACATTAGCATAAACCTCTGCTCCCAGCAGCAGCCACCTTCCAGAAATCATGAATACATGCAAAACAAGAAGCAAAAACCAGAAACACCTTCTATTATCGCATTTGCTCCAAATACCACAATCACTTTGTCACAAATAGATTGCAATGCTCTTAAGCTGAAAGCTCCTTCGCAGCGCATAACTTTGCTGGAAAGGCAGCTTGAAAAGCTGCAGACCAGATGCGTGTGATCTCAGCACTACTGCTTCTGAAAGAGATGAAAACAGGACTTGATTTTTGGCTCAGTGCTTTCCAGTGTCTTTCTGAGCAGCAGAAGAGAGATGAAGAGCTCGCTTTATGTTTTAAAGCCAGCCTGGTGACTGAGGTGGTTCGTTGTTTGCAGAGCTGTTGTGGTGTTTCTTTAAGGCAGAGATATTTCTCATTGTAATACCACACCCCAAAATAAAAACACGTCCTGCTTCCAGCAGTGTGAGAAAGAGGGGCTGAGAATAACTGTGGGCAAAGATGCGCTGTCAAACAAAGACCACATTGTGTACCTACAGTTGATATCTATATAGGAAAGCCTGGAATGTTTTCACAGAAACACTATCATAGAATCATAGAATGGCCTGGGTTGCAAAGGAGCACAATGATGATGTAGTTCCAACCCCCTGCTATGGGCAGGGTCACCAACCAGCAGACCAGGCTGCCCAGAGCCACATCCAGCCTGGCCTTGAATGCCTGCAGGGATGGGGCGTCCACAGCCTCCTTGGGCAACCTGTTCCAGTGCACCACCACCCTGTGTGTGAAAAACTTCCTCCTCACATCCAACCTAAACCTCCCCTGTCTCAGTTTAAAACCATTCCCCCTTGTCCTATCACCATCTACCCTCGTAAACAGCCGTTCCCCCTCCTGTTCATACGCTCCCTTCAAATATGGAAGGCCACAGTGAGGTGTTCCCGCAGCCTTCTCTTCTCCAAACTCAACAAGCCCAGTTCCCTCAACCTCTCCTCACAGCAGAGCTGTTCCAGCCCTCTACTCATCTCAGTGCCCTCCTCTGGATCTGCTCCAAGAGCTCCACGTCCTTCCTGTGCTGGGGGCCCCAGGTCTGAATGCAGTGCTGCAGATGGGGCCTCACAAGAGCCGAGTAGATGGGGATGATCACCTCCATGTCCCTGCTGGCCACTCCTCTTTCAGTGCAGCACAGGATATAATTGGGCTTCTACACCATCCACAGTGTTTCTTTTGCCTACCTGTTAGAGCTCTTCCTTTGCAAAGATCAACTGCGTGGCTGCACATCACACACAGACTGAAAGAATGGCAAGGTTGAGTTCTGCAGTTTACTTCTCACAACATTTTATGTTATTAAACCTGACCAATCTGTGTCACGGGCAATTTAGTATCATAATTGTTAATGGTTTGCTTACTTAAAGCTTAATTTCCCCTAATATAATCTGTTCCTAGGACTTAATTAATTCAGTTACATAGAAAGTTTGGTTAGAAATAGCCATTATAAGTAGACTGTTCATCCTGAATATAGGGAAATACAGCACAAATTTTGTAGCGGTATGGATTTCTAATTAAGTTTAGACGATAGTGGAAGATTCATTTATCCACTCTCAAAATCTAATTTTGTACCGAAAGAATAAGCAGGGAAAGTGCAGGAAAACACAGCGTGTAACACAGGAGGGGGGGAGGACCTCCTCCAGGCACCGAGCAGAACTTCAGCTCTGCTGTTAAGTCACCATGTCACTTCCATGGCAGGTAGAATAGAATCATAGAATGGCCTGGGTTGAAAAGGAGCACAGTGCTCATCCAGTTCCAACCCCTTGCTGTGTGCAGGGTCACCAACCAGCAGACCAGGCTGCCCAGAGCCACATCCAGCCTGGCCTTGAATGCCTGCAGGGATGGGGCATCCACAGCCTCCTTGGGCAACCTGTTCCAGTGCTTCACCACCCTCTGTGTGAAAAACTTCCTCCTAATATCCAACCTAAACCTCCCCTGTCTCAGTTTAAAACCATTCCCCCTTGTCCTATCACTATGCATCCTCACTATTCACCATGTGTCGTGCCAACAACTCTTCTTAGAAATCACAGCATCATCAGAATTGGAAAAGACCACTAAGATCACAGAACCATTGAATGGTTTGGGTCAGAAAGATCACTAAGTTCAACCCCAAACCAACCCAGCTATGCCCATAACCACATCCCAAGAGCCACATTCACCTTTTACTTCCTCTACCATTCAATTAACATAAAATATGAAGGCAAAAAGAAAGTTGGTCTACTTCTACCACCCAACGCCATCTACATGCAATAGTTTCAAAGCACTTGGCCACAGAACATTTTGTCTGAAGGAAAAGCGATTGGAACCCAATTGAAATTTCAGTAACAGTTGGTATCTCAAACTCAGTATTCTTCTGGAGTGAAACTACTGCCTGTGACTGATACAAAAACTGACAAACAAAATGGGATGATTACATACCAGGAACTGGTTTGCATTAGTAACACAGTCAGTGTTCCAGTAGCAAAGAAATTTCAATATAACTTAGATTACTTTATTTTTTCCTCCCAACATGACCAAGTGATTCTTAGTCTGCGACTCATGTCAAAACAACTTCACTTTATGCCCTTATGTACAACCATATCTTAGGGCATTTAAGCCCCAGTTCTTTGATTTACAAGTGCCTTCAGCTCATAAAAAAAGTATCTGGATTTCATGTACCACTAAGAAAAATTAGTAACACCAAACTGATGAGAAACTGTAAAAATGTGTGGGTTTTTTGTTAAGTATAGGAAGAAATAGTGAAGAGAATTATAGATAAATCATCACAAAGTAACTCTTCCCAGTTGTGTTGGAAATTATTGCTTATTCTCAACACATAAAAGCAGAACTATTAGCCACAATGGGAGTGGGGCAAATTTCTCTCCAGACTCAAATAATTTCTTGTATTCAACGTAACTCATTCAGCCTGAAGAACTGCCAATGGATTGAAGAACACCACCAGTACAGTACTATGATAACATATTTTGGAGCATTTGGGGTACCTCGGTGCTTGAGAAAACATGAATGAACAGAGAGAACATTATTTTTACAGCATTTCTTTCTCCCTGTAACAATTCAGGATTATTTTGCTGTATTTTCTTCCCACTTTTGCATAAAGGAAATAGAATCACGTCAGTTCTGCCTTTCTTCCCAACCCCACTTCACGTCAGGGGGGAGAAAGTGAAACTGGAAATGGTATTTTGAAGAGGACGCTCTCTTAGAAAAAGGAAGAATATAAAACTTAATTAACTTATGAAATTGGAGAGGTACAGCAAAGAAGGCACAGTGGGAGGTTGACCACCAGGGTTTGGTGCTCGCTTTGAATTCATAAGATCTTTAAAAAGGGTCCCTAGCACTGAATTCACCAGCTTCACTTTGTAGGTGGGAGCACCTTATGGTGTCCCAGCCTACAGAACCAGTCAGCATCAAAAGCCAGGGACATGAAGAGAGCTCAGACTGTTTGCTTTCTACTTAAACACAGCCCCAAAGCCAAAGTTAATGAACAAAAAAGCAGCACAAAGGCTGAAAGCTCCAAGGGGATCCAAAGAGCCAACAGCCAAACAAGCTGCACGTGACATTTATGCGCACCTTTCTCTATTTCTTCTCCAGCACCTCCACTTTCTCTATTCTGTTTTTCTTCCTTTCTTTTTTTTTTTTGTTTCTTTTTTAATGGTTAGAGGCAAGGATTCAATCCGACCTTGGAGAATACAGACAACAGTAAGAGGAAGCCATAACCTGAATGCTGAGTGCCTGTGCTACTGTCAGAGGACCAGCTGAAAAACAAATGTGTCTTTTTTCTGAGTGCTCCTGAGTGATGCCAAAGTCATCAAAACACTCGTTGTGCCCTTTGTGAGAACGATGGGGGGAAAGAGTGCTCTTCTGCTTAAGGGCAGCACCATTACAGACAGCAGCTCTCCTTTAAGCACGAACTCATCTTGCCCTTGTGAAACTCATGGTGTTGTTTTTGGTTCTCTCCACTTGTCAGCAGCTGTATGCCAACTCAGCAGTGAGGGTCTGTGAAAAACCAATCAACCTGACAACCCAACTCCACCATCCATACAACGCTCCTGGCTCTGCCGTGTGCTGTTCTGCTCATCTGTAATGAGC